AATAACAACAACAGCAATAGCAATATTAACTAATATGGTGATATTAGTATTAGCCAGAAAAATAAACATTTGAAGAGAGTTTTGTTTTTTTTTTAAATGATTAAAGAAAACTTTAATGTTTTTAATAAAAAAGAAAAAAATTAAAATGAAGATTATAGCAGGAAGATCATACACCTTGAGTAATGTGGAAAGCTTTAATTATCATGAAAAGTTACGCATAATACTGATAATAATAAATATATACATGTATATATGACGGGTCAAAATCGGAATCCAATCCATTCCAATCCAATCATTGTCGGTTAGCTTTTTGATCGTATTTTCATTTCAGTTTCTCGTGGTTTGATATAGTAATTGATAAATGGACGTGTGCCACTACCATAAAACCAAAACATATTTCGCATTTTTGATGTTCGATCACCATATCGTCCATTTAATGCGACATAACCGCAATCATTATGCCACCAACCCCTGAAGTCATAAATTATTTCAATTTTCGAAAAACATATTTCTAGATGAAATCACATACCGGATATTAATGTAATTAGTCTATCCTGTAAAATTTTAATATGCAATATTATCCTAAAAAAAATATCCGGAAGAAATGTATTTGAGAATTGATTATACATTTTCATTTTTTATTCTAATTATTGTGATGTCGATTTTTAATCATATTTTCTAATATGATTAAAATTTATTCTCGCGGAATATTTTAAATTTTGCATATATTCTATAATGTATATGGATAGTTAAGTAATAAAAGAACCTATCATTTTTTAATTAATAAAGAATGTCTAATGAGTTAATTAAAATTACTAAAAAATGCTTTCTATAGGAAAAATAAGTTAATTTATTGATCAATTATAGTTGAAAAAATTATCCGGTTGAAATAATGAAAAATAAAATTAAATTGAAATGATAAGTCGTTAGTAATTATTACGGATAAAGATGATAAGCAAATAATTGCTAACCCAAAATCACGAAATTGGGCACAATTACCCTGAAATTTATCATTATCCTGATCAATAGTTGTAAATGATTTCCCATTATTCATATAATGAAATCGATCAGTGGTTGTACGCTCGGATAAATTACCTGCCAGAGCGGATGATATCGAGAGGGTGTATTTCTTCGATGCATTACCAATCTAAAGTAATAAACAAAATTTATTTACTTTTCAAAAAATGGCTATTTTAAAATTTTCTCTGCATTTTTAATTATTACTTTCCTTTTCAAATCAAAAGAATGGAAAAAATTGTCAAATTTTCAGAAAAAGAATATTAAAAAAAATTTGCTAAAACTTTTAAAATTATCATAAATTGATAAAATTCATGAATCAATTAGGAATTTTCATTCATTTTTTATACATGTGATTTGAATTTGATAATTGTTTATAAGTAAATGGAATTGAGGAAAAATCACAAAAAGAAAAGGATTATTTCTTCTTAGCTGAATAAATTTTAATGAGAAAATTATGCTAACAATTAATTTACTTACATTAAAATCCCATTCACCCCACCAATAACCATTCGGTTGTTTTGAGCAACCATTTTTATCTTCGCATAAATCACCTCGTAATTCAATCCGTAATGTAACCGGATTTCCGTCATCTTTTGCAGTTAATTCGTATATCTGAAATGATTTTAAAATTTAAATTATTTTAAAATTAAAATGCATAAGACGTTTGCAAGCATTTGTGATTTGATGAAAAGACTGAATATCATCACTTACGGTAAAATATAACAGATATACCGATCAAAATTTAAATAATATATATTACTTCATTAGGAAAATTGTGCTTTTGTTAAATGCGAACAGAAATTAACGTTTCATTATTAAATTATATTAGAACTTATAGCTTAGTGGAAAGTAAGCTAAAATTAAACATATCTTATTTAGACTAAATAACAGTAAATTTTTTCTCTTTCATTAAATAGATCAGAATGAGATTGACCTTATCTAAGCCAAGCCAAAATGAACTTGTTAGCTCACCAAAACCATTTTTATATTCATTCCATGTACGATTAGCAAAGTGTATTTGGCCATCTTTTCTTCTAAAATTATTTTTTTCATCACAAATTTCTCAACAAAAATTTTCAAAAATAACCTGCAAATTTTTCCTCTTTTCATTGCTTTTTAAATTAATTCCACCCATTTTTGGGGATTTTTTTGCTAATGTTAATTAAATGCTTACTTTTGTATTACTGTCCAACCGCCATCATTTGTTTTCATATCACAGAGAACATTGAATTTGCCAATTTTTGGAAGGAAAATTTGATAAATTCCACTCTCATTCTTATCATTGTTAAGTAATGCTTTACAATCCTATAAATTAAAATATAAGAGGAAAAAATTGATTAAATATTAGAAAAATAGATAGAATATGAATAATTACTAACTTTCTTTTATTGAAGTACCATTTCGAGAAAAATAAAATGTTTCCGTTTTCTTTTGTTGTATTTCTTTCAAAACATTTAGCTTAAATTTATCATTATTTTAGAAAATTAATTTCTAAATGATATTTGCACGCCAATTTTAGACTTCTTGTGCTAGAAATAAGAAACACATGAAAAGGGTTACTGTTAAATTAATTAATGTCAATTCTAAATTTTTTTCCTCTTTCATTTATCATACTTAAGAATTCTTATCCACCAAATTTTTTATCTAAATATGTCTCAAAATTATCATTGTAATCAAATGAGTAATTTTGAAGAATGAAAAAAAATTGAAAAGTCAATATAATAGTATTATATCTTTTAATCAAATATTACGATTAATGTATTTATTAAATTTCTAGATTTCATTTTTTATCGTATTTGTCATTTTTTTAATTTATCATTTATTAAATGGATTATGACTTTTAATTTACTGTGTTTATTAAATTTTGTTCGTTGAATCCTTACTAATATTATCATATTTCATTTTTTAAATTATTTATTTATCCTTTCTTCATTTTAAATCTTCTTATATTATCTTTAAACATTCTAGATTTAAATTATCATATTTATCAATTTTTGATTTAAAAAAGGAAATGATCCAATAGCAAACCTCAATTTCGCTATCGATATTATCATCGGTATCAATAAATAACGGTAAAGTAATCGATCCTTCTATTTGCTTATCTGTCTTTATCAAAGGTAATGTAACAATATTACCCGTCGATTGTTCCAAAATACGGGAAGTATTCGTAGTATATAGTGAAGTTGCTACTGTAGTTGTTACTGAAGTTATTACTGTAGTTACTGCTGTAGCTGTAGATAATAAATCTAATATTGAAGTAGCTGTACTCATAGGATTTTCCTGTAAAAATATTTTATGAAAAAATGAAAAATTAATTAATGTGAAGTAACAGAGGAGCAAAAACTTGAATTTTTGAGAATCAAAATTAAAACATTTAACAGACAAAAATGAATATTATTAAAGTGATATAAGGTAAAAAAAATTTTGCAAATTAATAAAAAGTTTTAAAAAGGAATATAAATAGGATGAAAAGACACAGAACTAATTTTTTTGCATTTCAATATATCAGTAAAAAATGTCACTAGTACGATTTTCTAGGTTTCATCTTCAAATTTTGCAGTTTTTAAATTTCCATTCGTAATAAATTAGCAAATTTTCTGTTTCCTATTAGTTATAACATTTTTTTTTTCGCTTATTCAATCAGTTTATGTTTCGATCTATTGACTGATTAGTAATGGTAATTAACCAACGAAACATAAACGTGCCTATTTTTTTTTTCACATATCAATTTTAAACAAATTTGCAATTTTTTTCATAGATGACCTATTTGTTTCGTGCCAGGTACAGTTGTTTTTTTTTCCTCATTTTACTAATCAATTCAATCAGAGAAACAAAGAGGAAATGGAAGCTACCAATGAATCATTATCACCTACGCTGAATGCGTCATCACCAATTTCAGAACTTTTTGAAGACGTTGTCTCAATTGTTACAATCAATGAATCATTTACTGCCATCTGTAAATAAATATGATAATAGAGTTAACATTCACACTTGATTAAATTAAATTCGATTTAAGCACTTTTTTGATTGCAGCATGTATACCTCATCGTGACAATAACTAAGTCAACTTTTATTTCAATTTATTTTGTTGGAATGAGCAAAAAAAGTTTCAAATCTTTGCAAGTCTTTCATTTTCATCTTTTTTACTTCGATATTTCAGAGTACATTAATTGGGAAAAAAGCGTTGGACAAATTTTCTTTTTCTAACATTACCTTTGAAAATTTTGATGTGGCAATAGGAGAACTTTCAAAAGCGCTATGAGATATCTCGAGATTTACTTCAGGTAACGATACATTCCTTTTCGGGTCTGTTTCTTTTGATGATGTTCCGGGTAATAGAAAGAAGAGTAAAACGGAAAGCACAATTAACATAGCAATGAAAACGAAAAGAATCAATAGATTACGTCGAGTTCTAAAAGTGAAGGAAAAGAAAAAGTGAGAAACATAAATTTAAATTTTATTTATTCTGTAAAAAATTATTTACAATTATTTTGCCCAAAAAATTATTTATTTCAGCGCTCAAAAAAAGTAATCTTGAAAGAAATGTACCGTACAAAAGTGATATGGAAATTTAATATTTTCATAATTTTAATATTTCAAGAGCAGTGAATGTTTTCAAATCAATCAATAGATTTAGTTCAAAAATTAAAGAGAACAAAAGAAAAGAAATTAATCAAAATTTTTAATTTTCCTAAATGCAAAAAAAAAAAAATTTCCGGAATAGAAAAAAAATTACCTTTGTGAAAATAGCATTTTCTTCATACGAATTTCTGCAGCAATGCATGGATCAAGTTCAGTTTCATCAATTTTTGCATCTTGATTATTGTATTCCCTCATTTTTTCGTACGTGTGTCAATTTTCGTCAAACAAATAAATACGTAAACAATCGTAAACAGACGTAAATAAGTGTGAAAAATGACAAAAGCTAGCGTCGAATAATATACGCTTAGTAGAATAGTTGGAAATAAATAATAGAATTAATAAAAAGAATACAAATGCCGTTGTTATGGATGAATTTTGATAGCTATTAATTATAGAGCATACTTTAGAATGTGTTCTCAGTTTCTGTTTTTTTTTTTTGTTCAATTTTCTTTTTTCCTATAACAAATGCAAAATTTGAAATATAAATAATATGATTATATTCAATTAGTAGTATCCAATAATATTTGCTCGAATTATATAATGATAATCGTTTTTCTCTTGATACAATAAACTGATAAAATGATTAGAATATAACAGTAATAGTTTTGCTAATAAAATATATTGAAAAGAGGAAATATTGAATGGAAAATGTTTTATTATTCAGTAGGCATTCCAGTAATGATTAATTGTTTATTTAACTTAAATACTTATATTGTGCCATCTAATATAAGTATTCATGATGGGTATTTTTAGTTTGTAGACAATTTTTTCGTCTATGCAATATTCACTGATAATTTTGCAAAATATCTTCCAATACATTGTGCTTTCTCATTTTTCTACGAAAAAGGAGGGAAAAAAGGAAATGGAAGGAGATTGAATATAGGAAATTGAATTAGAAATTTTACATTTAAGTTTTATTTTCGTGTTTTTCGGTGAAAAAGGATTATTATAGTAAAATAAGACAAGCTAAGCAATCATAATGGCAAATATTTGCAATTTTCAAATGAATACTTAATTGAATAAAAGTATTCAATTAATCGTTTATTTAACTTCAATATTTAACCATTTAACATAATTATTCATAAGTTCAATTTAGAATAGCATAAAATAATTCGGTCGTTTCAATTTCAGTTGTTAGAAAAAAAGAATGCCTATTCCAAATTGTTACAATTTTTGAATTACATTAATATTTAGATGAGGAATACGATTCAAACATTTCAATATTTACTGTTAGAGGACAGAAATTCAATAACAAAAAAAGATTTAAAACTTAAGCGGTATACATCAAAGAATGCAACTTGTAATTTACACACATAAATTAAAGCTTACCGAAAGATATACATATATTTCGATGGTTAAAACAGATCTGACAATGATTAATTTACCATATTAATCTTTCAGGAAATTTCACATAAACAAAATTTTACATCAGAAAATACTTTTTGTTCCAATATTTCAAAATGAGTAATACAAAAAAAAAAGGAATGTTAGTATTAAAGGATGAAAGTTTTTTAATTCAGAAATGAAATCAAATTGAAAAAGAAAACAAATGAAAGGTTAAGTTTTTTTTTTTTGTTTATTATTTCAAAAGAGTAAATTTAAGTTGCATCGTATTGTAGCATTGAGGAGATGTCGCCAAAAAAATGAACAAAATTTTTTGAAAAAAAAAAATTAGTCCACAATTATTACATTTTCATTCCATCAAATGCAAAATAAATTGAAGAAAAATATTCAGGAATCGCCGAAGAATTTTTCGCCTGTTAAATTGTTTGAAATATAAAAATAGTCTTTTATAAATCGCGAGTAAAGAATCAAATTTAACTAAAAAGCAATAAAAATAATGTATTTTTTTCGAATGTTAATGCAATTGAATAAAAATATTCGACTCAAATTATTCATTTCAAATATAATTAATTGTTAATCTAACATTTTTTTCATGTAAGCATGATTAGTCTACATTTAAAAGTTTAAAAAGAAGAAAGAAAGTAATCATAAAAAAATGAAATAAGTATAAGCAAACTTTTTTTGTACAGTCATAATTGATAATTTAATTATTGTCATAAAAGATAATACAATTAATTAATGATAAAAAGTATGTGGTCATTTTTTTGTGCTTCTTTAGTTTTAGTATTAAAAAATTTAACAAAACAATTTAGGGAAAAAGATTTTGGAAAAGTTAACAAAACAAATTTCAAACCATGAACTTTTTTTCACTGTATAATTTTTTAATCAGTGCAAAATTTGAGAGCATTGACGTTTTTAGTGCTATTATTTTGAGCGAATTTCGATAAAATATTGATCGAAATAAGGAGTCAGCGAACAAGATAGAATTGATAAGCCATTTATTTTATTGTTAATTAATTTTAATCCATCAATGATTTTGCGTGCTTTAATTTTTTTTAATAGCTAAAGGCTACTTAAAATCTTTCAAAGCGTTAATATTTTAACATTTCTTCCCGCCTACTTTTTAGTTCTATTTTGTTTTAATTTTCTTGAATTAAAATTTAAGATAATATTTATTAAAGCAATAGACATGTTTAATTGCTGAGGAATTAAACGAACGCTGTAAAAATAATTAAGGCATAAAATTTAAGCAATATTTAATTATAGGACTAAGCTCAATTATAGTACCAAAAAAACTTGAATCATTTAATCATAAAATCTAAGCATAGTGATCAAAGTATTCATAACGTTAAATGTATGCTTCATATTTTCACCCATTTACTAGATTATTCATTTCACATTAGCATTTATGATATAATATTTGTTTAAAGCTATTAAGTGTTTATAGTAAATTATTTCATTTATTTTTTGATAGCACATCATCCTCTCATTAAAATCACTGACCAATTAGAATGAATGAACATAAACGTTTCAATTAATTTTAAAATGAAGATTTCTGAAATTCGATTTGTATTTAACATCAATTTACTTAATAAATCTTCTTTATCATATTTTTTACTCTTTTTTGGATGATTATTATTTCTCGAATAGAGACTTTTACTTTTTTCAAATATTACATAAATTTTTAAATCGTAATAAATTGAAAAGTACCTCTTTTTAATATTTCATGATTTATGACATTTTATGTCGCCAAACTTTCATATATGATTTATAAATTTTCGGATGGAAATAAATTACAAAAGGAAAGAAATAAAATGATGTAAATTTTGCTCCGTGAAAAGGGTGAGAAATTTTTCATGGAAGCAATTAACGCCGCTATTTGGATCTTTATTAAAATTCGAATTTTTTTCTTTTCAAACTAAAATTTCGGAGCATAAAAGCTGTCACTTGCATTACATACTGATGATTGCTTGATAGAAAAAGTCTAAAAGTTGCATAGCTAGTAATGATAATTTCTATTAATTAGTTTAATAATTAATGATAATACTAAAATTGAATAAAACACCTCGTCAAATCATATTCCAATTTGTGTTTTAAATATTAAGCTGTTTACGCAATTTTTTTCAAACAAATCAGTGGAAATCCTTAAATTATTTGAAATACTAAACATGAAAAAAATTCATGTACTTTTGCTTCTTATAAAATTTAATTTAAAAATTTTTGGTTGAAATCAAAATAAAAAAGAAAGTTATACCTTAATTTTTGTTGGTTCAAATAAGAAATAGTGCCGACGAATTGAATGATGAATCTTTCGAAATAAATTACCCATTCATAAATTACAAGTAAAAAGAATTTTTTAATTATTCGGAAAAATTTTTTAAAAAATAGAAACGTTGACAAAAAATCATTCGTTTGTTAATATGCCTTTTTTTTTGAAATAATTTATTAGAATAAAAAAAAGATAATTAAGTGTAAGAATTATAAGGCAATAATTATCAACTTCTGTTTACATTCATCAAATGGTTGTGTTTTTTTGACAATTATATATTAAAATCAAATAGTTGCATTATCATTTCAAATTTCGGATATTTCATTTTCAGTTTCAATTTATTATATATATATACGTGAAATATTTTAAAATTGTCTATAACATTTAGAAAATATTATGATCATAATCATAATATTATATCTTACAATGTATTAAATATTACACTGAAAAATAAATACATTTTAAACGGAAAAATGTATATTTTACAATATTTAATAAAATATACTTTTTTCGAGTTTCTTTTTTTATTATTCTCATAACTTTTTCTTTATTTGCTATTTCAAGCTAATTTATGTTTTTTATATTTTAAAATTTATATCAGAAGCGGCTCACTTCAAAAAAAGTCATTTTTTTTCTTTTCTCTTTTTTTCATAATATAACGACGACAACGAATTTGCTGCTAATTTTATAAAGATTTATTGCAGCAATTAACATATCTTAAAAATTTTTGGAAATATAAAAATAAGTGACAAAAAATCAATAATTCTCGTCATACTTCAAAATATTCTTTTAAAAGATGCAAATAAGTTATATTTTGAGCTAAAATTAGGAGAAAAATATTAATAGCAATTAAGCGCAAATTATTTTGGATTTTTTTTTGCTTTTTCACTCATTTTAAATCGATGCAATAAAAAAGATTTTTAGAAAAATTGTATTAATTCATGGAAATAATCGACAGATAAATTTTATACGACCATAATTATTGAATATTTTTCTCGAACGCAATTTTTTTATTTTCAAAATTTCACCGTAATTTGATGATGTTAATTTTATGGTAAATGTAAATATAAATGTATGGTACGATTAATATAAGGGTAAAATTTTATTCTAAATGTACAAAATGAAAAGGACAAAAAATTTAACAGTTTAAAACAAAGATTAGAAATTTTATTTTTAATCCTGAAATTCATGTTTTTTTTTCTTTTCATTTTGTTTTTATATTCTTAAGAATAGGGTATTTTGTTAGAATAAAGCAACGATTGTTAAAAATTAATTGCAAAATGTTAATTGAATTGAAAATTTAGATGGAATAAAATGAAAATTGAGAAGGTGGAAGAACCAAATTTCGGGGAGGACAAATAATGAAAATAGTCTTTTAAAGGTTAGGTCGTTTCTAAATTACACTAAAACGCCATTTAGTTCTATTTTTTTCTCTTCATTTTTTCGTTTAGCGAATAAATCATTAAATGAAATTTTAAATTTATATTAAATAGAAAAAATAAATAAGCCTATCCGTAGGATTGTTTGGTTGAAATAAATAAGGCATGGCAAAATAAACAATTAGCTACTTTTTCATGAAAAT